AGAATTTCCCGCTGACGAGCCACGTGCGCGTAATGTCCCGTGACGTACCCGCCCATAGCTCGCGCCGGCGTCGACCAAAACGAGCTCATCGGGCTTCAGCGCCATGTCGTTGGAGACGTAGTGGATGGTATTCGCATTGATGCCGCCGGCGACGACGGGGACGTATGCGGGGCCGTCGCACAGGTCCTGCTTGAACCAGTAGTCGAGGAAGGAGTCGAGGTCTTTCTCATACGAGAAGGATTGGCGCATGGCGTCGGTGATGGCGCGGCCCGAGTGCTGGCCTGCGCGGCGCATGTTGACGATTTCGGCCTCGCTTTTTATCACGCGCAGTTCGTTGAGCAGAGGGCGCAAGGGCCGTATCGAAGCTTCGTTGTCTCGGAAGACTTTGGCGATGCCGCCGGTGCGCGCGGGCTCGGCGGCGGCGAGATAGCGCGAGGCGAAGTTCTTGCTGATGCGGTTTTGGGGGAGGTCGGTGTAGACGGTCTTGCTCCGTTTGACTATCTCAGGGAGGATCTTGGGAAGGTCGTCTATGGAGCCGGTGATGTCGGCGTTGAAGACGTCCTCGGCTGCTTCGACGCCGCTTCTTGGGCCTTCCCATGCTTCTCGTCGCGCGTCTTTGGGGCGCACGTAGAGGTGGAAGGCGTGTTCGTGCTCGTCGGTCTTTTCTATTATGGCGAGCGCATCCTGCTCGAGGAAGCCGGTGAGGTAGCGAAAATCAGGGTCCTGGTGGAATTTGTAGAAGACGGCGCCTGAAGCATATTTGAGGTCGTTTGCAGCGAGCACGGCGATGGAGTTGGGCGGCAGCTCTTTGGCGAGCTTGGAGCGGCGTTCGAAGTACTCGAGGGCGGTGATGCCAGGGGTGACTGCATCGAGTGTTAGTGGGCGTCAGACAGCACTCGGGACGTTGAAGCACCTTCCCCAGCCTTGAGCAGATGTGGATGCGTCTCATGCAGCGGTTGTCCAAATCTCAATTCCGCAGCAGGCACGCTCAGGAACCGCCTCGTGGCACCACATCTCGACGACACCTTCGCCGTCGGGCGTAGCAGTCGCAAACACGGGCTCATGATTTCCACAAGCACGTCTGTCGTGAGCATGCCGAGTCGCGGAAAAGGCAGCACTTTCCCGCGGCGCGCTAGCATCGTCGCCTATCGAGTGTACCGGTGCCTGTGCCTGGGCGTGACGTCGCGCAGGTGCGTCCCCACTCTCCACCACTCTTACCCCAGCTTTCGCGTTTGCCTGCCACAAGCAATGACACACGTCACCCCGAGCCCTCACCGGCCGCATGCCTTGCACACCCATATAAGACCGCCGTAGCCGCCACCCTGTCGCTGCCACTCTTCGCCCGCAGAATGGCCTCCACGGCCACCAGACCCGGCGTCGTCCCGCCAAAGGACCTCGAGAGCTTCCAGCAACACCTGAACAAGTCGACGAGGATATTAGCACTGCTGGGCGCGGGACTGAGTGCGAGCTCGGGACTACCAACATTCAGAGGCGCAGGAGGCTTATGGCGCACCCACGATGCCGTACAACTCGCAACCCCCGGAGCATTCCAAGCAGACCCCGGCCTGGTATGGCAATTCTACAGCTACAGACGCCACATGGCGCTCAAAGCCCAGCCCAATCCCGCGCACTACGCCCTCGCAGAGCTCGCAAGGAAGAAGCCAGGCTTCCTGACCCTGAGCCAGAACGTCGATGGTGCGTATCCGTCACTCACCACGACTTGAGCATGTGCTGATTGGTATATATGTGACAGGCCTCTCCCCGCGCGCCCACCACCCCTCCGCCCAACTCAAACTCCTCCACGGCTCCCTCTTCGACGTCAAATGCTCAGAGTTCTTCTGCACTCACGTCCAGCGCAACAACTACACCGACCCCATCGTCCCCGCGCTCGCCCTGCCCACGGACGAATCAGACCCTACATCGCGCGAAGCCCAGCGCGAGCTCGATATCTCGGATGAGAACGTCGCCATCCCCGAACTCACGTACTCGCACCTGCCCAAGTGTCCCGCGTGCAAGAAGGGCCTGCTGCGTCCCGGAGTTGTGTGGTTTGGCGAACAGCTTCCCCGAGATGTCCTAGATGATGTGGATGCCTTCATGGCGAGTCCTGAGAAGATTGATCTTATCATGGTGATTGGGACGAGTGCAAAGGTTTATCCGGCGGCTGGGTATGTCGACTTGGCGCGTAGTAAGGGTGCGAGGGTGGCGATTGTGAATATGGATAGTAATGATGTCCCCGCAGGTGGGCTGTATGATGGGGATTGGTTTTTCCAGGGAGATGCCGCGCAAATTATGCCGGAGTTGCTGGAGAGTGTTATTGGGGAAGTCAAGATGGACGAGGTCGTTGATGCTGCGGCGGAATGAGGATTCAAGTGTTTCTAGGGCGTCGTCAGAGAAGCGAATGCCACATTACTCGGAGAGCAAATTAGACAGGACATGAGAATTGGAAGAGTAGTAACCACCATGCCGCAGATAAACGTGTTTGAACTCGTGTTCATATTTCCGATTCTATAATTTCGTAACTCCCGTTGCGATGCTAAGCTCTCGCCAACTGAATTGTGCTTTGATAGCTCACGATTCTCCAAATGTTAAGCACCATCATAATTCGTGCAGTGCTCTGCATCGAGCCAAATTCTTGCCTGTAGTTCTTTGCCCATCTGTCAAGACATATAAAAGCCCAACTTGGCAAGACGTTCAAAGCCTAGTAACGAACCCCGTTTCCAAACCCAAGTGGCAGCTATGCGTACCAAGTACGCCAGCGCCTGCCGTCCATCAAGTCGTCTGATCCACACCGTTGGCTAGTGCTGGAAGCCGTATGTGTCCTCCGCGTACCCGAATGGATTCGGTACACTCGGTCCCTCGCCCGGCCACAGGTACGCCTGGGTGTCATGTGCGTGATGTATGGACGTCTGCAGCTCATCTGGAAACGCGTCGACAAGGTCCGCCCAGACAAATGGGTCAGCCAGGTGAGGATCTTTTACAATGTCGTACGCGACCTGGTACGCGCGCTTAGCCGTGTCGTTGCCGTCGCGCACGTATTGCAGCCAGGTGATGAGTGACTTTGCGCTGGCGACAGAGGAGTCGTAGGAAGCGTCGAAGTGTCTGCGACAGGATATGCCGATCAGGAGGATTGCAAAGGCTTGCATGACTTGTTTGTGTTAGCACATCTTTGACGAGGGACTGCGAGAAGCGCTTACTGTTGTGCATGAGCACCCACCACGGTCCCTGCTCATAGACGCTCTTCAAATTCAAGTCTCTGGGCAGCAGAGACGTGAATTCCTGAGCAGTCTTGATACACGCTTCGGCAGCCTCACGGTCGAACGAATCAAATTCTTGCGTGTCTGCCTCGCTGCATCGCTCAATGCGACGCAATGAGGGTCGCGTAATGAACATCTTCGTTCTACAGTAGAGTTTTCTGAGCATGATTTGCTGGACATCTTGCTCCGTTAGCGGCCTTGGTTCCTGTTCCTGCGGCCGCACAGCTTCGATAGCCCACTCATCGAGTTCAGACATCATGGATGTGATAATCGCGTGCATCTGCGCCCACGAGCGAGCTGCTCTTCGCTCAGTGTAGAGCTTGGACAAGACCTCTTGTGTAATGACAGCTATCCGGACCTGTGCATCTGCGTACGACATGAACGGCATGCGCTGGTCTTCATGCCTGCTTCGACGCTTTGCCACATCGCTCGGTAGTGGTGTCGTAATTTCATCGCTCCGGATCATCGATGGACGACCGGTCATGGAACTGAGCAGCCCCTCGAGATTGTGCAGGCTCCACCACGTCTGTGCGACGACACTCTGTCGGTGCGGGTCCGTTTGCGAGGTTTGCGAGTGTGCGTGATATCCCAATGCCAGAGCTAACCGTAGCGCAGTGCCGATTAGAACCCATGGCTTCTATTGTCAAGTTAGCATTGTTTTAACATGGCTTAGAAGAATAGTGCAAGCAATATTGTGCTCTGTCATCATCAAACTGTATGTACAATCCGGCCAGTACATACCTGTTAACATGACCAATTGCCATATAGTAGAATGCAAGAAGCCCATGTGCCTACTTCAATCAATACAAGGTCAATCTAGGAGCATCCCGGACATACCTGTACTAGTGATAGATCCGGAGTGGTAAGCACAAGCGATGAATCGCCAAGTCCGAGAAGTTGGCACGCTCGCGATATGTACAGATTCTCGTCGGTTGCATTTGAGTGCCACTCTGCATTAATGAGACGTGAGAACCTCGCACCGATAGCAAGTACCAAGTTCACAATGCAATACCATCTCTGTGGAAAGTCTATGACGTGTGCGCTCCGCATTGACTGAAAGTACACCTTGAGGTTGTTCCCGAGGTCTTCTGGTATGATTGGGAACGTGACGTGGACCGTGTGAACATAGCATTCGAAAAACTCCATGGCTAGCTCCTGGGATGGCAAGTGGAAAGGATTGTCCTGCAGTAGAAGCTGAACGCCGTCATCGTCGGAATAGAAGTTGGTATCGATAGAAAGTTGAGGCGACATCAGGAGGGCATCTTCGTGAAGAAGGTGCCGTCTCAATTTCCGCAACCACTGCACCTCGCATATCTGACCCAGGTATACTGCTTCTAGCGCATTTGGAGCAGGAGAAGCATCATCGAATAATGAGTCCAGGTTGTACTTTGGCTCGTGCCGTCCAGACGAGGGATGTGTATCGGGCGCTGACGACGTCGCTTCTGTGTCCGCCGTGTAGAGGGCAGCTGAAGACTGAGAGCCTGAGGGCCGATGAGAAAAGTCTGAAAGCTGGGATAAGGGCGTGGTCGGAAATCGCGATCTGCTGGCGGAACTGGGCTCAGGTGGCTCGTCTTCCTCATCTGACTTGTAGATGTCAGAACAGGAAGTGACCAAGCTTTTGTTTGGCAGGAGCTGGGAAAACAGCGGGGGCACTTCGCGTCTCGAGGAACTCACATCAATGTTAAGAGCGCTCTCAATCCTCGCTCTATCTTCATCGTCAACGCGAACGCTCAGGTCTTTGAGGAGTGCCACAAGGTGATCATTGCGGTCTGTGGCGCTACGTGAAAGTCAGCCTCTCGACTATGACCCTTGAGAAGACGGGAACTAACTTGGCAAGCCGGTCTTTGCGCGTCGCTTCGTAGATGCAGGGTTTGTTAACTTTCTCGCAGAAATTGCATCGTGGAAAGCCCCCGCTACACTTTACTTCTAGAAAAGCATGAGTTTCTCACTGCCACAAGCGCCCTGTGTAGATGAACTTACTTCGTTTGTGGCAGTTTCGACATGCTCGCTGCACCCTGTCTCGGTGTCTGAACTGCTGCTTGGTGGGCTGGCGTTCGGGACGAGCCAGTCGAGGTATCGCAACTTCTGTTCGGCAAGAGTGTCCTGTCAGCATGTGTCCATTGCTCTAGAGGCGCGGCAAGACTTGTCGGGCCTTCGGCGGGGTACCACGCTTGGAGCCTTTCCAATGGTGGTGGAGTGCTACTCACTGCAACTAGGGTTAGCTAGACAGATGGCGACAAACGGACGAGCGCTCACCTAGATTGCGATACATACGAGGCAGAATGGCTATCTTGCCGGCTATCGTGGTTTTGCATTGTGTAGCTTTCGACAGCCTGCCTGAAAGCTCACCAAGCTTGTCACGCGTTACGCGTCCACAGCTCGCCTACTTTACCGGATTGGCGGTGTCCTCATGTAAGTTTATGGCACAAAGATGCCAAGATCGTGGGCATCAGTGAGCTATGCGCCACTGCTTGCGAGTTGAGTTGCTGATGACACTGTCGTTGTCGAACCAGGAACGTGTGAAGGCACAAATTTTGCCCATGGCGATATCTGTTTGCCCGAAGTAGAGCGAGCTTCAACCCGGGTTTGTTTGTTAGCGATCTAGTCCACCGTCATAGGACTAAGGCATGCAACCAAGAGCGCGATACAGGCTCCGCGCAGGGCTGATCAACGCCCCTCATTGGCTCCGGCGAAGATGCCCGACAACAGGATCTCGCAATGGCAATTTGAAATGCGATCTACAAAGCCTGTCCAGCACACTTCCGGTCTAGCGACCTCGACGGCTTCGACGGCATCGCGACTCGGGTCCTATCTGCACACTAGTACCTTGCTGAGTACCTCGAGCGTCCACATCTTCGTATGTCGTGGCACAGGTCAGCCCGCTAAGGCCATTATCGACACATGCCAGGTGTAGCGTAGACGAGAACAGGGTCCTAGCCTTGAACAGGGTCTAACAGCCGGTGTGCCTTCAGCTTGAGAAGTAAGAGTGCGGCAGGCTGTATGCAGCCGATGTACTAGCAAATTGTCACGGTGAGCACGAAAACGCCGAAACTCGGGTGGAAAAAGGGACTGAGGTGTGGTTCAATGCCGGCCTAGATCCGGCGTCAATGGTTTTCCGTGAAGAAGGCGTCCAATTTGGGTTGAACGTCTGATTTGAGTTGACAGAAAGTTTTTGCCTCCCAGGGTCCTACGCTTCACGATGCCGCACAGACAGGGTCGGAACAACCATCGGCACGTTGGGACTAGCGGCCCGAGGCACATCATTTCTATCAATGCATGTCTTTGCCTTGGCTTCACTGATCGGGAATTATTCAGAGTCTAGACCCCGACTCTGCACCAGCGTGTTGCCGGCTATGTCTTGCATGCAGGACAATCGCTGCTGGCATGTGGCCGCCCGACTCTCAGCGAATCACATTTTCATAGTGACACCGTCGCTGCTCTTGGACCCGTCTCCCCATCTATCTTGACGCAAGGATACCAAATGATCCGAAATCAGGGTCTCGATTACTGGGACCTCAGCCCAAACGCTTATGCGGAATGCGGGTGATGGATACACGAGGATCCTCTTGACGTAATTGCTTGTGTTCACCCGGAAGAAATCGCCTTGGGTCGACACAGCACACCAAAAGCAGGCCTAGCTGAAGGGAATAGTCTTATCTGAAGCGAACACAAACATCGATGTGACAACTTACCAAGACCTCGCCAGTGACCATTGACGCCACTTGCAACCTTCGCCTTTTCTGGTGCATTACCAAGAACCTTCGTGCTTTTGTATCTTCATGTTGCTTCTACACAATTCGTCACTTCGTGGCTTGGCCATTCTGCTCTCTGGACCACCGGACATTGAGTCGAGTTTAGCCGATACCAGATAGGACTTTGTGTCAATTGCAGTTCCTACCGCGCGCTGGCTAGATGTGCCATTGACCCATCCAGGGCTGCTGCCCACAATAGGATTGGGCGTCGCCCTCACCAACTCAGGATATCCATGTACAATGCCGACATTAAAAAGCCGCGGAGCTTCCAACATCATTATTCCAGTCCGATGGTGCCCACAACCGTTAGCCCAGTCGTTAATTCAACATCCATCTCACATATGCATGCACCATCTCCCAAACACACTTCGCTCCAAGCCCTCCGCCTCAAATCGCTCTACCCCGTGGAACGCCCAGGGCTGCACCCACTGAGAATCGACTTCAGCTTCTTTTCGCGTTCAAGCTTTGCTGCCGGCACTGCAGGGCGTCATTGAGTTGTGTGAGCGAAGAAAGGGAGTGAGGAGGAGTGGGATGTGGAGGAGGTTTGCAAGTAGC